TTTTTTTTTTTTTTTTCTTTTGATCAGCTATCAACTCTCACTATTTGTTTCTGAAACATAATCAACATTAAAAGAACAAACCTTGATAGCCACTCATTGTCATCTATGGAACTGTATTGTTGCATTTCAAATGCATATTTGCTTTGTATCTGGTTCAACAAAATGGCAAGTAGGAGATTACCTATAATAATTGGCTTGCGCAATCAGTTATGTAGACTTTATCTTTTAAGTTGATCTTGCTGCTTAAGTGTTCTTTTCCTCTTTCAGGTGCCCAAGGGCCACAATTGCAGAAGATTCTAGAACGTCTTACCGGACAACACACTGTCCCAAATGTCTTTATTGGTGAGCAGTGTTTTCCTAATACTTAGCATTTACTTGAGACATCTAGTATAGGTTACTTAGAGAAAAGGTGTTCAGATCTTTTTCCATCCATATCTAAAAGATCCTTACCAAACCTTGCAACGCTATCTTCTGTATGTTCACTTATCACTCTCATCTAGCTGGTCAAAAGGAGCAGAAATTCACCTCAAAATAATTAGGAAATAGGTGAAACAAATACCACAGCTCCATTGTCATTTGCTCCTTGCTCTATCTAGAGGTTAATACCTGACCATGCACATCAGTTGACAAATTTGTATCCAACTGCTGTTTATTGAAACTATTTCCCCATGTATGATTTTTATTTTCAGGCCTTTTTAGCATTAGAAAATACAAATACTTGCAGTTTAAACACTTCTACAGAATTGCAGCAGATCCTTATGTTGAGATTTCAAACCTTTTGTTGTTCAGCCTTTTCTCCATTGTCATTTCCTCCATGCTCTTTATCAGAACTATTTCCCCATGTATCATTTTTACATTCAGGCCAACTTCCTTTAGCATGCTTCAAAGTCAAATATAACAGTTAGATGTCATGTGGTTTTTTTCTCCTAGCCTTAGGGCAGAAAAACATGATGGATAGAAGATTTCTTGTTCTAGATTTAATATCCTCACGTATTTTGAGGTCTGAGAAAGTTGCATAAAGTAAAAAATACGGACAGCCAGTCTGTGGATGTCCTTAGTGCAAAATATTTGCTATTTTCAATGTTCTTACAGTAAACTGAAATTTTCATCGTGGTATTCCTTTCTGTTCCCTTTTCTTTTCTTTGATGTCCTAATTTTCTCAAATATCTATTGATGGTTAATATTCTCATATCTATTCCATCTTTTTTGTTCAGGTGGAAAACACATTGGTGGTTGTACAGGTATTCATGCATTTTCACTCTCGCATTATATATGATGCAATTTTACTTTTATGAACCTGAAAATTGAAATACAAGAAATCTCTTATAATAAAATACACAAAAGCAGATGCCCCATATATCCAAACAAACTGTAGAAATGGTTCCTGAACAAACACAGTATATGCTTTGCTACATTTTTCTTTGGCTTCTTTCATTGTTTCTCAGTTTCTTCAGTAAAACATTCTATGACAAGAAACAGCTAGAATTTTTATATCCTTAACTTTGACTCTTGACTGTAAAATGACTCTCATAATGAACTTGGATTTCTTTGAAATCAGCAACCCTATTGATGTGATGAACAGATTCTACTTTTAGTCATTCCTTCCTGTTGATGCAGATACTGTGAAACTGTACCGAAAAGGAGAACTTGAACCATTGCTGTCAGAAGCCAACTCTAAGAAAATGGAGAACTAACTCCTCTCTGGTGTTGCTATCAAGGGGGTATGTTCCATCTGTGGACTTTGGATCTTATAAGAAGATAAGCACTCAGAAACATTGCTTCACATGCATTTACTTACTACCAAATCTCAAAAGTTGTTTCCATGCCCTTCATTCATTGTATATTCTAATAATGACATTACTTGTTACATCTCATTTGAACCTTCTTCAGCCATTCCTCAGACATTAAAATCCTTTAGACGGTGAGTGACAACTGAAGAATTTGTCGAAGAGAAGGGTTGGAAATATTTTTGCTATTACTTGCAAATATTCTTGAGACTCTGTTTTTTTTTCTTGTATAAGGTTACCTAATAATGCATTAAGATCATGCAAACATCTTTATTTATTTACTATTTCTTAGGAAAGTAACCTTTAATCACCATTGTTTGTCACTGCGTGCATGTTCTTGTAAGGCAGGAACAGAAATTCTACTGTGTCAATCTGTGATGTTGCTGCTGCAATGAACATCTCCCTACAGTATTTTGTCTGAAGTACCAAATTACCCTTTCTTAATTTAGGCAGTAATGTTTTTGCATTTAATGGAGATGGTAGACTATTAAGGGTAAAATTGAGAAAAAAAAATAATTATTAATGGTACATTGGATTGTAGATTAATGTTATTCTTAAGCGTTTTAACGGAGTAGTTTGGTTTGGTATGTAGTTCTTTTTTAACCGTGAGTTTTGGTAAAAATAAAAATATAACCTTTCAAAAAAGTTTTAATTCGAGAAAGAGATTAATATGTATCAGTTTTGATTTTTTTTAAAATTGAAAATTTAATTCACATTTGAAAATTGAAATATAAATTTATATTATAAAAATGTATTTCATTAAATATTAATATTTAAATATAAATATAAATTAAATTATACTGAATTATATAATTTAAAATGCTAAATAAAGGGCAATTCTTTGATATTAAAAGTTAGGAACAATTTTCATACAATTTAACGTTCTTGGGCTCACTGGACCGGATTTGGGCTATTTTTAAATAAAATTTCGCAAGTCCAGTCTTGTTTGAATAACGGATGGTCCAAATCCAATTGTTTTTGCTGGGTTATTAGCGACTGGGAAGCGTGGCGGCTTCCTGATCACAATTCTGATAGAGAACGCCAATGGTAACCGAATCAAGAAAACAACCCACCAAAGTTCCAGTTTCCAGCCAGCCATGGCTTCCATGGCACAGTTCTGTTACATTCTCGGTCCATCAAGCCCTAAACTCAACCACAGAAGTGTCAGATTCTGCAACCAGAATCTCACCCGTAGAAAGAATGCATTTCCTTCTCCCAGTCTCGCTTTTAGTTCAAACCCATCAGTACCATCCTCCTCCACCATCTCCTGTTCTGCTGCTAATAATAAGCCCTCTTCTCCCTCTGACATTAGGTACTCATTCTCTTCCCTTGATTCTAATTTCGATATTTTTACTTCGTATTTCTTGTTTATATTCATGGGTTTTGGAGGGTTTTCTGAAAAAAAAAAAAAACTTTGTTTTTCAGTTCTGATGCCAAGTTAAGAAGTGAAGTTCTGTCTCCCTTTCGTTCTGTCCGAATGTTCTTTTACCTTGCGTTCATCTCAAGTGCCGGTTTGGGAGGATTAATAGCTCTCTCACAATTAATTGGTGCCTTAGCTAATCCGGCAAGGTCACCTGAAGTCCCCGAGATTCTGAAAAGTGTTGGTATAGATGTTGGAGCTGTATCTCTATTTGCATTTCTGTATTCTAGGGAGAATTCTGCTAAGAATGCACAATTGGCTAAACTGTCTAGAGAGGAAAGCCTCTCAAAGCTTAAGCTTCGAGTGGATGAAAGTAGGATTATTTCTCTTAGTGATTTGAGAGGAATTACACGTCTGGTGATTTGTGCTGCTCCAGCTTCCTTCATTGAAGAAGCTTTCAAATTAAGTGAGCCTTTCACTGAGAGTCTTATGGACCGCGGGGTGCTTGTTGTGGCTTTTGCAACGGATGGTAATTTGCCTACGTTTGAATTTGATGCGAGTGAGGAAATGAAAGAAATCACTGCAAAGAGGAAGAGGCTTTGGCAATTGGCTCCTGTTTATGTTTCCGACTGGGACAAGTAAGAGACTGAGCTAAGGGGGTAAAAAGGTTAACCTTTTGTAGTATCCTATCCCTTTCTCTTGTATTTAATTTGTTTGAACATGCAGGTGGCTGGATGAACAAAAGAAATTGGCTGGTGTATCCCCTGAATCTCCTGTGTAAGTTTTCTTTGCGTTACTTAGCATTTCCTGAGCCAGTGATCGTTGTTAGAATATGAAGAAAGACATCCATTAACCTGGCATTTGATAGCCTTTTCTTGTCATTATTGGATTAGTAAATAGAAGGTCGTCTTTTGAACATTCTAGATGCATCTATAGAAAATCTTGAGCTGCAGAACAAGGGCTCAAGTTCAGTTCATTTTTGAGATTGGTAATCAGAATAATTGTGTTAAAGTAAATTTGTTTATCCATATTTACTCTCTAGGTACTTGTCTCTACGGTTGGATGGCCGTGTACGTGGAAGTGGAGTCGGCTATCCTCCTTGGAATGCATTTGTTGCACAATTACCACCTGTAAAGGGGATATGGTCAGGTCTACTTGATGGTATGGATGGAAGAGTTCTTTGAAGAAAGGTTAGTTGCCTTTTGAGTTTGCTCTAGATTGCGGATCCTGCAGTTGTGATCTTCATTGATCTACTATTATCATGATGATATGCCCGTAGCAGAAAGAACTAATTTTGTTCTTAACTTGGTATCGAAATATGTTGCAGCATCTCACGAACATGCTATGCAATTCCACCAATGAATTATTTTTGAATCTTCTTATTATGTTCATGTAGTAACTATGATATTTGGAGTCTAGGAATTGAAGCTGATCAATCCTGGAAAGGCTTTTTCTCAACTCGCATCAATTCATTCGCAAAATATGGCTCTTTGCTCCGCTAGTGTATTTCATATTTACTTCTAACCGCAGATTTTGCAAGGATCTGCTCAGCATATTGTAAAAACTCAACGCAAACCCATCTTAACGAAGACAATTTTGTGTACATGTATACCGTTGTTTATATCGCTTTTGTGTCTAAGATTCCTCGAAGTTATTAATCATATTTTTCAGTGATAATTTGTTACATATAAACGTAAACAAAACTCTCACTTTTTCAATTATTAATCAAATTCCAGTGTCGGTTGTGGAATCATAATAAATAGGAAGAAGCAGGGGAATACAGAGTATATGGTACACATTCCTGGCACAGAAAAGCTTAATGCAGAGAAACACAGACATTATGAACATCAAAGAGAAAAATTACATTTCATTATCCTCATTTAACCTCTTCAATCTCATCCAAAGCATAGTTGTTCGTTGATACATTTGCATAATTCACCTTGTCGAATCGAACCACAACTGGGTAGCGAGTATTTGGATCCTACATCATTTTCATGCAAAGTCAAATATCTCAATTCACTAAAAAAAGGAAAAAAAGAAAAAAAGAAAACTAAAAATCATCAAGAAATAGGGAGAATCACCTGGTCTACTGCTACAACAGATCCGATTCCCTTGTACCAGTAGGATTCCCTCCTAAGAATCTTCACCTGCATAACCAAAAGCAAAAAACAAGATCGAACTTCAGAAAGACAAAATCTTGGGACCATGGATATTGATGGTTTTATGGTGGGTTTCCAAGTTCCAAACCTTGGCGCCTCTTTTGGGTCCGATTGGAGCAGGTTTTGGTTTGGGTGGTGCTTCCGGCCCTTTTCCTGGTTCGGTGGTGGTGGTGGCTGGTGCAGGCGCCCCTGCTTCCTCAGCTGCCCTTAGAACAAACCTTGAACTGTTGGTCCTCAAAGGGAAAGACAACATGTTGGGCCTAGAAACAGAGCTTGAATTTCCGGTAACGTTGGGTGTGAGGAGGAACCCAGCAGCAGCCGATGCCATGCTGGAGGTAGCCATTTTCCGGCGTCTTCTTCTAATAGGTGGAGAAAGAAGTGTGTGACAACAGTTTAAGGGAGAGGTAGAACAGAGATTGACAGGGATTTGAATGAACTGAATTTCCACTGTTTTTTCCTGGGGAGAATTATCTGATCTTCTGGAGGTTGTTTCAATCGTTTCCTCCACTCAGATGTTGCCACGTTTGTACCATATCCTATTTCTTTGGATAACGTTATTCCAAGTCATCCTTTCCCTTCATTACCTATTTTCAAAAAAAAAGAAAAAAGAAAAAGAAAAAGAAGAAACGAAAAGAAAAAAAAAAAGGGGGAGTCATCCTTTCCCATTGCTCATTTTCAAATATATGCACAGGGAAATGATTTTTGTATAATTTTTTTATCTCATCATTTTATAAAATTTAATGTGTTATTAAAATAATTAATTTTTTTAATTGACATGAAACTCATAATATTAAATACATTTACTCATTTAATGACACATAAAAATTATATAAAAAATAATATTAAAAAAATTAACCTTATAGCATTTCCTATATATATATCATCCTTTCCTTGCTTTCCTTTTCTCTCCTCTATAAATTTCATTTTACCTCCGGTTTTACATTAAAAGCAGAATATGAAATTTTATGAACAAACTACAAAGATGATTATTTATTATTATGAAAAATTGTTATTTAGTTTGAAGTGTCTTAAATTATATAATAGTGATTATTGGATGAGGATTAGGTCTTTGATATTGAAGGTTTTTTTTTCTCATTCAACCATTTTTATTTTACACTTCACAAATTGATGTACTTTAAATTGTAAAATATAAAATTTTTATTATTAAAATCTAATGTTTTGTATTTTAAATTATACAACTGTAATACATCAACCATTAAATGGAGGTCTCATTATCAAGTGTCCCAACTAATCTAATAATCTAATCTAATAGTTAGTATTTTGACACATTTTTTTGTTAACAATAATGTGTTTTTTGGACTGAACTATTCTAAGTTATGAATTTATTAGATTACATTTAGTGAACTTTTCTCATATTAACTTATTAAAGATACTTTAATAATTTTAATCCCTAAACTATATTTTTTATATACAATTCTGACTTAAAAGTAATCTAAGCACACAGCCTCGAAATTTATTTAAAAATTATTTTTAAAATTAATTTTTAAAATTTTCTTCAACAAATTTTTAAATAGATGAAAAAAGTATTTTTTTAAAGAAAGTGCTGTATAAGTTTTGCCTAACACTCTCAATCATAAAAACTACTTTATCATGTTAGATTTAATTATTCTAATTTAGTTTTTACTTTATGATCAAATAATTTTATATAATAAATAGATAAAAATTGAAATTTATTTAATTTAAATAAAAATACCGACTATAAACTATGAATAAAAAAAATCACTTATTATTTATTTATTATATAAAATTATATGATCAAAATTTATACTCCCTCTATTCATTTTTAATAAACTTAGTTTAATTTTTTTATTTTTCATATATAAATTTCAAATAAAAATTTAATAAATTATATAAAGAATAATTGAAAAAAAAAATTAATTTACATGAAATTCTTGTTAAATAGTTTTATTTGGTAAAAACATTTCATTTATTATTTATATAATATATTAAATCCTTATTTAAAATTTATATTTAAAAAATTAAAATAAATTTATTAAAGATGAATAAAAATAATATAAAAATTAAATTGAGATAGCAAGTGTAGTGGAAAATATCTTGTGCAGGGGCTCTTTCTGCACACGCGCACATCCCTCCTCCTTGTCACGTGCCTCTTTGGCGCCGAAACTCGTCTCTTTTCGCCGGTTGCTTCTCAAACAACGGCCGTAATTCCAACTGGAAATAACAAATTTCAGATTCCTAAAGAATTTCCTCAACTACTAAAACTTCTCAGCTAGCGTTCTTGATTCCATCAGATCCTTAAATTCAATCTCCATCCCGAATGAAGCCAAGAAATCATCAATTTAGCTCTAGGGATCCGTCGCCGATTACAATTCCGTCCACTCTAGATTTCCACGGTGTTGCGACCGATTCTCGAGCAAACAAAGGTTCTTCCATCCCTAATTTCGTATAATTAATTTAACTATTCAATAGTTTCAATGGTTGTTGGCGACTTGGTGTGGAAGATTTGAATTTACTTGATCTTGGCCGGACGGGGATTCTATCTCATGCTGTTGAATTTTCGCCTAGGTTAATTATGTTTGTTTGGACGGAAAATGCTTTCCTGGAAAATTTTCCAGTTGGAAAATTCCACGAATGATTATATAGAATACTTATTCTAACTTAGATTACTGATTGCTTCGTACTAAGCGGTTCCATTCTCTTTTGGGTTAGATTCAAGCCGTAAAAAGAGGCCGAATTCTGCAGATGTGTATGGTGGGAATCCTTCTGGTTTCAATATAGATGATTCTTTGCCTAGAAGAGGGACTTATGGTTCTAAATGTGAGTTTGTTTGCTTTTGGTTTCAAAATGTTGATAGATTTACATTAATTGGAGGTCATGGTTATGACTTAAATCTTTGGAGTTTGGATTTGATTTGCAGCTATTGGTCCTAAAACTTCTGAGTATGCATTCTTCAAGAAATTAAAGACGGATTCTAGCCACAAGTTTCAGTCTCTATCAATTAATAAGGAGGAATACAGATTAAAAAAGTCAAGTTCCAGTAAGTGTCGTGGAGGTAGGTCGAATTTGCCAAATTCTATGTTCTTTATTATGTGTGGTGCATTCACTTTCTATGTATCACATTCCATCCACTTTCAAGCTAGGCTGAACAATTGACAGTTCTGAAATTTCCTTCTATACTGTGCAGATGGGAATAGCACGGTAAGGAACGACATCTCTAACTATGCAGAAGGGACAAATATTTTTAGGAGCAGCTCTAGGGACTTCAGACCCACTTCCCCTATGGAAAATTTCACATGTATGGACTTTGATCCATTCCTCTCACCAGTTGAAAGAGCAGCAAAGAACTCAAGTATTCACTGTGAAATGAACTTTCATATTCTCTTTTATGCCTTTCGGTGATTGTTAAATATGTTGACCATGCACTTTAAAATTTATTTCATTGTATAACTTTAAATTTTAGTATTACAAAATCGGGATGCTATCATCAGAATTGTGAAGTTTATCCTTTTATCTCTGTAATTTTTAGTTGTCAGTTTCTAGTAGGCAACTATTTTACTCTGTAAGTTTATTTTTGAGAATAACCTCAATTTCTGTTCATGTTACTAGAGGTCACTATGAACAAAGCTTTTTCACCCTTGGAAGATACATGCAGCATAGAGAAATGGATAGGAAAAGATTGTGATGACAGGGAACCTCGAGGTATGTTTTCTTATCAAACATGAATTTCTCGTTCTATTCAAAAGACAAGGAGATTGAGGAAGATAATCAAAATTTTCCTTTTCTATAGCAGCTTCTTCTTTTTGGATATTATTGGGTTATTGAAACCGTATTTATACGAATGAAATATTAACAAAGGCCACCAAAGTTGCTCTAACCTTGTGGTTGGAGAAACAAGTCATCTTTTTCCTTCTAACCTGCGAAGGTTACGGTCTTCATAGTTAAAGAAATGGAAAAAGAATATTAAGGAATGTCAAGTGTGTAATTGTTTGAATTTTTGGGTCTCATTATGAGCGAACAGATATCTTTTCTAGGAAGAGACAGAAACTGCGCCAGTGGGTTGCTGATTGCTCATTTCCTGATATCGATGAACTCTGCTCTAAGGGGTTAGACTTATCACTATTGAACCTTTTTTCTTTCTTTGTACACCATATGTGATGGACTCACAGTATATATTGTCTTAGGCATGATTTTGTGTCTCTGCTTCTTAGTCGGCTATTCCCTGGCGACAATGAGAAGAATGTATGGCTCTTTTAACTCTGCATATGGTTACAAATTCTTCCCTTAAGTTCCTTGATAAGCAAAAATAATGGTTCTTGCAGAGTTCAAATACTCCAGAGTCATGGTCAATGGAGATCAATACCAAATATAAGATACTAGCTTCAACTGAGCAAGACATTCATTTCAAGAAACTTCATTGGATGCCCACAAGAAACTTGGCAGGAGTTGAATATATGCCATCCTTGGAAAATGGTCCTTCATCCCATTGGTCAGGCAGCTTAAGTGAGGATATGTTGTCTAGTTCTGACTCTCCAACCTGTTTTGTTCACGATACTTCTCTGCAAGACAATATAGGGGTTACTAGCTGTCAATTAGGAGGAGGGAAGGCAGTCTCATGTATTGAAACTGAACCCACTTTTGGCTTTTCTATTGCAGAATATGAATCGCCTCCACTATCCAGACGCCCTCTCAAGGAGCTGGATGATTTCCACAGCTTCAATGGATCTTTGCTTGGAAGAGAACTACCTGCTCTACTGCTAGAATGGGACTTCAAAAACATGACAAATGAAAAAAGCTTGGCAATTGCTTGTCAAAATGCAGATTTGATGGGGAATTCCTTCGAACTGAATTCATGGGATCATCAGGAATATCAGAGTAATGAGTTTGAATCATTTGGTCCAAGTAAATTGCGTGAGTCATCTATCCTTGCCAATTATCCTCAAACTTTTTGTCCATTACCGTCCTCCCATCCTCTCAGCTACGAGCAGTATGACTATGAGTTTACAGAATACATTCTTGAAGAAGATAAAGATAGAGCTGCAGATTTTAAGTACCGTCTTCCTTTGACCTTGTCGGGTACAGCCACATGTCCTTATCTAACTGAAGATTGCAATGATGAGACGACGTGTAATGGTAGTGACAGCTTCTTTTCTCCTGAAAGTCACAGTTCATCTGTAGGCAAGGTTTCTAATGAGGAGCATCATAGTCTTGGCTATGAAACTCCCCTGAATTCCTATGGGGGGAGGTTCTTATCATTAAGTTGCTCAATAGAAGAGCATCACTCTCCATGTCATTTTCTTGAATTTCCCCTAAAGGAGATCATATTGCCACACTTGAATTCTGAAGATGAGCATTGGAGTTCCCTGGATGGTTCAAGATATAGAAAAAAGCTCAAAAATTTTTCTAGTTACATGATAGACATCCACGGCTGGCCATCCTTCTTCCAGTCATCTTTGGAGAAAGAGAAGACATGTCCCTTGGTTCCTGATAACTCAAGCTGGGAGGAATCTAGGGGAGAAAAACATTATGATGATAGTGAAATGGCCGGCTTTGATCCTTCCTCTGCATTTTGGTGTGGTCCTTAGTCCCTTACAATTCATTAAGAATGAAATGCTGTACGTAGCAAGGCCTCGACAATTTGTAGTTCGTTTTCTCCCTAGGTAAGAACTAAGTAGGATGGTTAGCTAAAATTTTAATGTAGTTATAAACATTCTGAAGCATTTTAGGTGGAAGGAGTACTAACCTATGTTCTGATGTTTAATACAGCCTACACAGCCTGCAAATCGAAGCTTATGAGAATTGTCATTTGTGGTTGTTCTCAATCCTGAAGAGCACGCAATCTGACTTGGCTATACCTCAACTTGGTAAGCCAAGAAGTAAATGGACTAGATTTAAACCTACTCATAATTGTCATTTGTGGTTGTTCTTACTCGCAACTTCGGATTAACTACTCCAACATCTGCTATTAATTCAGGTAATTTCATGTCCCAGAAGTAAATGGACTAGATTTAAACCTACCACAACCACTCACGTGCCCTGTTCTTTTCTTCTAGTTCCATAAACAGTTATTTTTTTTCCAATTTAGCTTCCTAGACAATTTGTTGGAGTGAAAGGGAAGGCAAAAAATGGTAATACTATAGTTATAATAGATTATAAGTTTACAATTTTTTTTTTTTGGTAGGAAGAGAATATATTAGATATTAAACCGAGACAGTCCTGGGAACTCGACTCCCAATAACATCATAGTACAGACAAAAGTTAAGTTCAGGAGGACATTGCTCCATAACAACAAAAGAACTATCTAGTTTAGGACCGAGTTTAGCTAGTTAATCAGCAACGGAATTTGCTCCCCGGAAAACGTGAACTAGTTGCACATCAGGAAGCTCACTAAGAAGCATTCTGCAACCAGAAATCAGCACACCAAGTCAGTGAAAAGCCTTATAAGTTTACCATTAGAGAAATGATAGGCGGGACGACACCGGGGGACGAAATTAGGGAACACAAGTATTGTAAGGGTTAAATTAGTAATTACACCACATGCATAAATCCTCTTAATACTTGTCGTCCCTCAATTTCGTCTCCGATGTCGTCCCGCCTATCATTACTCTTACAATTATGATTAGTACAAATGAATATAATATAACATTAAATAAATATATAATATTATAAATAAGCTCACAAATAAATAAAATTAATTATATGACAATATATTATGCTATAAGTTTAAAATATCAAATATTATTATAATTATAGTATTTTCAAAAAATGAATTGAAAGCTCTAACCATTTGAAAACCAGCTCACTCATTTAAAAAATCATGGTGAGAAATTAAATTTACAATATTAATATTGCCCAACTATTCTCATTATATTCTATGGTTGCAAATACAGTAAGTACCAGTAACATTTAAGCAGTTTGCCAGTTTCCGTTCTCTACGATGCACTGCCAACATTGTCTCCTGCAGAATCTTTCTAGATAGGAAACATATTATCAGCTGCCTTAATTTCTACCCAACTGCACAATCAATGTCCAAACAAGACCTTAGTTTTCATTATATTAATTTTTTTTTAGAAGTTTTATTTTTATGGAAGAAAAATAAACCAACCTCACTTAAAACAGGATTACCTTATTTTACTATTCAGATTGATTCTAATATCACCTACCCCATTCACTAATTTAAGTTATACAGACTGTATAATATTCTTTTTTAACAAAATTTAGGAACCCTAGGCATTAAAACTAAAGTAGTTCAGGAGAGATTTGGCATATTTAGGATCGAGTTTTCTTCCTTTTTGTTGCAGTCTAGTAATGTTCACCTTTCTCGAATGATGGGTCCTTCAGGATTAGGGATTTACAAAAAGTAATCTCTTTTACATGATGGTTAATGTCCTAACTACGGACATGAATTAAATTGCATTTCCTTGGGCGGGAGCATAAAGTACTAGTGGAGCAGGTTTCCTCCCCTTAATCAAAGAGAAAGAAACTTAATTTACTTTATTAACTCTTAATCACACTCAATGCATCGATTGGTAGGGTACTTAGCAATCATAAAGAAAATGACATATCCTCCTGTTTTTTTATCAAACCCTCTTTTTTTTCTTTCTACTGTGAGGAAAATTTGGGGCAATCCCCACACCAATTTCAAAGAATTACATCAGCTGATATGGTGGTTTCCACGTACTTTTCATGTGAATTAACAGTGGATGTGAAAGTCGTTTTCATTTGCATGTGCTGCTATGAACAAATTGAATGGTTCCTTTGACAAAAGGGCATAGATTTGTTGGTTGGAATGGCCCATTTTAGATTTTTCTCTTTTGCATGTCCTCTTAAACTAACCTTGAATTAAATAGTTTAGGTTTCACACCTAACACCTATTAATTTTGTTCGGAAAGAGAAGTCTAAAGTTCAAAATTTCCTTTTGCTTAAGTCCCC